GCTCTACACGACCGCCGGAGACACCCCTCCCGCCAGCCCCCCCCTGCCACGCACCCATCTTTCCTCCCGTGACCCCGGAACCCCCAAAATGTAGGCATTGAGATGCTCAAGGAGACCGCCGAGGTCGTGGTGGCGCTCAACCTGACGCCAGATCAGCTCAACGAGCAGATCAAGCGCGCCGATGCCCTCATCGTCCGCAGTGCCACCAAGGTGCGGGACAGCGGGGGCAAGGGGGGGGGGGGCATCGCCCACCCCGCGGGCCGGGCGCGGGCCCGTCGACCGCCAGGCGTGCCGCGCCGGCGCCCGCCGGCGCAGGCGCCGCCCAGCCGCCTGCCAACGCGCACGCGCTGCCGTGAAAGCGGTGGCCACCCGCGTCCTGCGCTGCGTTACTGATGGGTGCATGGCCGTGCCGCGGCATTCCCTGTTTTCATTGCGTCCGAGGCAGCTGTCACTCCCCACGAGTGTCAACGCCACCCCTTGTTTCGGTTGATCCAAAGGTCACGCGCGCGGTGTTCGAGGCGGCCAACGGCGGGCTCAAGGTCGTGGGCCGCGCCGGCGTCGGTGTTGACAATGTGGACCTCGGCGCAGCCACCGAGGTGCGCCCCCTTTCGCACTCCATGCGCCGCTGCCAACGCTCCCCCGCATGGCCCCCTCTCCACTTCACCTTCCCTTCCACCTGAATGCGTGCGTCGTCAAGCGCCGGTCAAATGCGCGACGGCGGCAGCAGAAGCGGCGACAGTGCGGCCGGTCAAAGGCTGGTCAAACGCCGGTCAGGCGCCGGTCAAACGCCGGTCAAACGCTGGATCCTGCCATCCCCCGCTCCCTCGCCCCCCGCAGTACGGCTGCCTGGTGGTGAACGCGCCGACTGCCAACACCGTCGCCGCCGCGGAGCACGGCATCGCGCTGCTGTGCGCGCTGGCGCGCAACGTGGCGCAGGCCGACGCGTCGATGCGCGGCGGCAAGTGGGAGCGCGGCAAGCTGGTCGGCGTGAGCATGGTGGACAAGACGCTGGCTGTCATGGGCTTTGGCAAGGTGGGCTTGGGGAGGAGGGGGGGCAGAGGTGGCGTGTATACGTATTTATGTGTGTGTTTGTGTGTGGAAGTGTGGGTGTGTGGGTGTGTTGTGTAGGCGTGTGAGTGCGAGAAGAGCATGGGCCGTAAGCGGGTGTGCATGGGCCAGGTGGCAGCTTGTCGCTTCCAGATGACGGGGTGCTCTGTGGGTGAGCAGTGCTGTGGAGGGCCTGACTGTGGCGGGGTTGGCCTGCAAAGGAGGAGGGAGGATTTGTGAGTTCGCTCACGTGCAAGCACGTGATCAGTGTTTGTGTGCGAGTGTGCGGGTGTGTGTTGTTTAGGAGAAGGGGTGAGGGTGGAACCAGCAATTGCCGTGATCAGCCGTGTCGGGGGCTTGCCTTCATGCCGGCGTCTCAATCAGACCTGTCGCGGGGACGGCCTTACGCCGCCTGGTGGTTGTGAGCACGTGCATGCGTGCGTCCACGTGCTTGCACGCCGTCAAATGTCGCCCGCCCGCCCGCCCACGCGGCGCCCCTGCCGTCTCATCCGCCAGGTCGGCAGCGAGGTCGCGCGCCGCGCCCGCGGCCTGGGCATGACCGTGATCGCCCACGACCCGTACGCCAGCGAGGACAAGGCGCGCGCCCAGGGCGTCCAGCTGGTGTCGTTCGACGACGCACTGGCGCGGGTGAGAGAAGATGAGGCTTGGCCTTGGGCTGGGGTTGGGATGGTGGACACGCAGGCGTGTGGAGATGCTCAGGGGGGCTTGTTTGTCGGGGCCAGGCAGGCAGGAATCGGGAATCGGTGATGGTGGTGGTGGCGGCCGTCGCACGAGGTGCCGCGTTGGGCAGGAGTGGTGGGATGGGGGGCCGCATGGCAATTCATCGCGCCCAGGGCGTCCAGCTCGAGTCGTCCGATGACGCCCTGGCGCGGGTGTGGGGAGATGCGGCTCGGCCCGGGGCTGGGGTTGGTTGGGG